GAGGTAAGCTTAAGGCCCATCTAGACAACACCTGCATCAGAAACTCACCTCTATGATCTCCAGGGAAGCTTTGGCAAAATTGACATTGAGGACCTTAGGCAGGGGAATTCCAACATCCAGGTCCGCTGTAAAGAGGGAATGGTTGAAAGCAAAGATATGTGGAGGGCCCAGGTGGGGCCTGCTGACACTATTCCACCACTTTCCTAGAGTCAGCTATTTCTCTTTTTGGGGACTCAGTTTCCCTTATTGGCAGACTCCTACTCATCCTACTAAACCCAAACAAAAGCATCCCTTTTTGTATTGTCATTAGTGCCTCCCCTCAGCAGAGGTTCTTTGAGGTTCTGTCCATCCCTTGCACACCCTGGGTCATCAATATTCTAATCATTTGTTTATATGACTATTTATCTCTGGATGGTGTGCTTGAGGATGGGACCCAGGTCAGATAGCTCTCGGGGCCCAGAGTCTGTAGTGATATAATCAATGCTGTTTGAGTGAAAACATTGGTGCCTGAGTTTCTGCATCTTAGAAATGGGGATCAAGTCCTCTCCAGACTCAGTGTCTCCATCAGAACAATGGAGAGAGGCAACGGATTCAACAATTCTAAATTGAGAGACTCCACATATCCAAGAAAACTGCAGAGGCCACACATACGTACCATTGAGCTTTGGCACATATGCCGCCCGGACCACATCACTGAGCCATTCTTCTAAATGGGATGCCTGCAACAGACCACGGGGAGGGTGGGGAGGTATGGCTTCACAGGAAACAGTGCATCCCAGAGATGGAAATCCAGAGGTCCAGCTGCCCTAGCCTACCCCATGCTTGAGGACACAGCTGCCGGGGGGCTGTCCACCAGTGACCCCAAAGGGGACTTGGATTTAGTAGGGCTTCCCTCTGGGCCCTATGAGCTTAGAACAGCCTTTCTAGAGGGTCTTTGGGGCCTAGAGGGGGAGGTGGATGGGGGTGGGGGGCCTGTGCCTGAGCAAGAGGGAGGAAAATGTGCCCAGCTCCAATAGAACTCTGTGCAGGCTTTGATCTTAAGATTCCTACCAGTTTAGGACCCTTTAGAATGTTATAGATCCTGAGACCATTGTGAGATTCCAGAACCTCAGAACCCTGAAACGTTAGAGTTCTCTGAGTTCAGGAACCTTATTAACTTGTGTAAAGTTCCAGAATTTTGAACCCTTGTGAGAGTCTAGACCAGGGGTCGGCAAACTTTTGAGATGGAAGAGCCGCCAGGGGTCAACAAACTGTGGCTTGTGAACTGTGGCTCTGAAGTAAAATTGAAAATGAAAATGAAACTATCATAGTTTCATTTATAAAATTTTAAAGAATATTATTCACATAATAGTGATTATGTAAAAACATATTTATGGCTCTGGAATAATTTTTAAATTGTTGTGAGGACAGAATTGGCTCTTCCAGGGGTCGGCAAACTTTTGAGATGGAACGTACCCAAGGAGCCGCATGTGGTTCACGAGCCGCAGTTTGCTGACCCCTGGTCTAGACGTTTACAACTTTGTGAGGTTCTAAGACCTTGGAATATCATGAGATGCACTGTCTCAAGGTGATTTCTATTTTACACACACACACACACACACACACACATCTGCCCTGATGTTTGTCCATTCTGGCTTCTTGGGGCAGAGTCCAGACTGAGGCCAACTCAGTCATATGGCTCAGGTCTCATCGCACCTCCTTTCCACCCCCACTTGAAGACCCTCACCACCACCAAGCCACTCACCCTCCCAAGAACTTACATCAAAGGCGTGGGCAAAGGAGGCCTGCTTGACACTGAGCCTGGTAGAGAGAAGAGAGATGTTGGGGGCCTCAGCCTCTACCCCACCATTTGCTGAGTGGTGCTCCGTCCCATCCCACCCCACCCCAGCCTGCCCACCCCTAACTCTCCAGCATCAGGAAACATGGTTAGAGGCCTAACNATTCATTCATTCATTCATTCATCCACTCATCCATCCATCCATTTATTCATTCAACACACAAATGCTTCTTGAGCTCCACAGTGGGCCAGGCCCAGGCTGGGATATTCCTGATTAGTAACTGCAAACGTCGTTCCCTCCTGCTCACCTGCCCCCAGTGGGCTGTTTGCCGCAGCTTTGCATAATCTCCCCGAAGGGAAAATGAATGTATTAGTTTATCCAAGCACTTAGCATGGTATTTAGTGCATAGTAGGTGCTCAGTGAATGTTTGTGGAAGGGAGAGAAGGAGAAATACTGGTGATAACTTGTGCCCATGTGATCCACAGGAGAAAACAAGGTGCTGAGAAAATTGGGAGATGTGACCCATTCTACAGACAAGGAAACTGAGGTCCAGAGAAGTGACCCAGAGCAAGTATTTAAGTGCATTACCCAGCTCTTCACTCATTCTCCTAAATAGTTAAGGGAGAAAGAGTTTATTGATGCCTAGACAAGATACATAGATGTACGGACAGACTTGTAATGCAAGTACTTGTTTCCTGAGGCCCTGTGGTGATGCAAAGACGAGGGAAACATGGCTATTCTAACACAAGAGTATCACTGACAGCTTGACCCCATAAAAATCAGTCCTCCTTGACTCTGCTGAACACTGTCCTGCCTGTGCCCCCCACCCAGGTTGTAACTGACTGCCCAAGATGGTGCCCATTCAACAAAGCAAAGAATTCTTTGAGATAAAATCCTAATTAGAACATTTCCCCCAAGCTTACTACCATATTTCCCTGAAAATAAGACCCAGCGGGAGAAGAAGCCCTAGCATGATTCCTCCAGGACATGGAGGACACGCACTGCTCACATGAGGGTTTTATGACCTGTTTCAGGGAAAAGGGTGCCTTTTCCACAAACTCCTTCAGCTTAAAATATTCAGTATGCCAAGGTGCCATATTTTGGCACCTAAAATCATGTGAGGGCTTATTTTCCGGCTAGGTCTTATTTTCGGGAAAACAGGGTATGTATTTTGGTCTCCTTCTTAAGTGGATTCACACCTCAGGAGGCCTTTTCTTGGTTCTAGTTCTCCTTGGATGACAAGGCTTGTAAGAATGCACTTGTGTGTTTATCCATGTGTGCATGCATGAGCGTGTGTGTGTGCATGAGAGTGTTCGTGCACTAGTGTGTGTGTGTGTGTGTGTGTGTGTGTGTGCTGGGGGGAATAGTTTGAAATTAATGTATATATATATTCATGGCACAGAGTGATTTCTCCTTCTGAAAAACTATCCAACAGACCATCGGCCCACGTGTGAAATGTATGTGAAAAGCTATTCATTGTAACCATATTTGTTAAAGCAGAAGATTAGACAAATTGCAATGCCCAGCAATAGGGGCTTGGGCCAGTAAAAGGTGGTTCGTCCAGACAACGGAATATTATGCAGCTGTAAAAAGTTAAACAACAAGGAAGCTCTCAGTGTTTGGATACAGAAAACTCTCCAGCTAGAGGAAATGAAAAAAGAAAAGTGCCCACTTGTGTTAAAAGGAGGATGGCGAATGAAAGCCTACATTTGTGTTTGCTTTGTCTGTACAAAAAAATTGGACGGTGAGCTTGGTGGGAAGGGGGCAGATGGAAGGCGGACTCCTCACTCTGTGCTTTTTGTCTTTTTATACCTTTGAACCATGTATTATCAACTGCGTTTCCTGGTGAAAATGTGAATTTAAAAATCGGTGAGGTTTCTGTGCGTTTCCCTTCCCTGCTTCTCCTCACCAGGGACCAATTTTCTCTGCCTCCACCCACCCTGGAGCAGAAACAAAAACTCAGAGAAGCTCATATGAATCCTAGATTCTTGGATTCAAGTTGCACAATGAGTTTTTCTGCTCCCAAAGTCTAGATAAAATGAGGGCTGGGAGGATTGGGCCAAGAGGTTGATAAGTCAGGAGGGGAAGGAGTAGGGGGCTAGAGGCCTCAAAGAGAAAAGCCAAAGAGGCGTCTGTCATGATGGGGGCCAGGGAGTGAAGAGAGAGACTCGGCTCTGAGTTGCTCTGATGTGCCCTCATCCAAGACCATCACCTGGGAGCAGCGTACCGGCCCATACCCAGAATACCTGAAGCCTTCCTCTCTGGTCAGAGTATGGGGACTTGGCCATTTTGTGGGAAAGATGTAATAGAAAAAACTTACCCTCTGACCAAGGTTGCATTGGACAGAACCAATTGGGAAATGTTCTGATNGATGGATGGAAGGATGGTCACAAAATCATTCCTGTTGGTGGACAAACCTCGAGCTGGACTCCAACTCTCCTGTGTGCCCCCAAATCCTCTGAGCCAGTTCCCAAAACTTTGTTGGCACTTCTTCATTCTGGCCCACCCGTAAGTGTCATCTTGGAACCATTCCCCAGAACCAAAGAGGCCCATCCTGAACAGTGGGGCAAAACCCAGAAGCAGGAGGCAGGACCCCCAGTTTCCTATCCCAGCTCTGCCGCTGTTGGCCTTGGGCTAGCCAGGCCCCTCTCTGGCATCAGTCTCCCCATTCGCACTATGAGCATTTGGCACAGCTTTGTTCTGAGGTCTATCCCGCCGAGGTGTGTCCTCAGCTGATGTGCAGCCAGTAGAAATCCCTCCAGGGCAGGACTAGGTCTCACTCATCCTTGCTTCCTGGAATGCTGGCTCCTTTTATCCCTGGAAAACTCCTATTCACCTTTCAAAATTCAGCTCAGATGTCATTTTTGAGAAGTGTCCCAAAGTCAGAGAGACAAAGACAGACAGACAGAGACCCAGACAGGCTCAGAGAGACAGAATGAAAGATAGAGATATTTAGAAAAATGGAGAGAAGAGAGGGGAGAAGACAGGAGGGGGACACAGGGCGCTTGAGGCAGAGGTAGAGGAAGACAGGACAAGACACAGGGGCTTGCCAGGCCAACCAGGTAAGCTTGGGATGCAGAGTTACAATGAATAGGCCCCAAGTCCCCTTACTTCCCAGGAACCCCTGCCAGGAGCCAGCGAGGGCACTGGAAGCAGAGGCCAACGTGGCCCCCGAGTGACTGGGGAACAGACTAGCCGGGAGGTGCTGACACGGAGGAGTAGTTTATTGAAAGCTCAGAACTGGTCACTGAGGCCCCAGAGCTCTCTCTGAAGCAGAGTCCTGTGGCTGGCTCTGCAGCCCCCAGACTGGGGCTGAGCTGCAGGGCCAGAGCACATGCATGGGCCTGGGTGGATAAGGGACACTTATGCTGTCACCGACACAGGCTAGAGACTGGAAGGGGAATTGAGGCAGAGTAGGCAGGTGAACAGGACTCAGGCAGTCAACAGGGAAGGGTGGCGGCCATCTCTCAGCCTCAGGATGGCACAGTCAGCACAACAGCATTCTGCAAGAAGCAACAGTTCTCGATTAGGCCCGCTGAGTCCTTGTGCCTGACACCCCTGGCACTCCCTCCCATCCCTGCAGCCATCTCTGTGTCCCCCACACCCATGCCTGAGGTTAGCGCTGTGCCTGGAACATAGCAGGCACTCATTAAGTGAATGAATGAACAAACAAATGAATGATGAATAAATGACTTCCAATGTGGAGAGGTCACTGACTTTCGGACTTACGAGACCTAAGTTCAAGTGCCATTTCTCCTGATAATTTATTGTGTAGCGTTGGGCCAGAAATTTGACCTCCTTCGGCCTTGGTCCTCATCTGAGAAACGAATCCAGAACTCCCTGCTCTGCTCACATTCCAGAGCTGTTCTAAGACTCAAAATTGTGCTTGATTGAAAAGGATTGTGAGGCCATGTNATCTGTAGGGCTTTTTTCTCTCCATAATTCATTATGAAATGTTCACACATACAGTGTAGTTGAAATAATTGTATAGTCAACACCCATATACTTGCCACCTTACACCCACCAGCTACTTCTACCATTAAAATTGTGTTATACTTGCTATATCACATATCTATCCATCTCTTTGTTAATCCGCCTTTTTTATGTATTTCAAAGTAAGTTGCAGGCAACAGTACATTTCCCTCTAAACACTTAGACATGTATACCATTCTGATTCTTTAAATGTAAAATTTACGTACATTGAAATTCCCAAATCCTAAGTGTTTGTTTGTTGAGTTTTGACAGTTTTATACAGCCATGTAGCCCGGACCCCTATCTCAATATAGAGGGTCTCTGTCACCTCAGAATGTTCCCTCCTGTCCCTTCCAAGTCAATGCCTTCTCCCATCCCTCAGAGACAGCCACTGCCCCTTCCAAGACCCACTGGGACACGGCACAGACCTCTTCCTTGGCATTGAAGGTGGATCTGCCTTCCACACTCAGTCCTGCTCTTACCCCAGCCTCCTGCCTCTGGGCCTTTGCACATGCAATCCCTGTCAGCTAGAATACCCTGCTCCAGGCTCCACTGGTCAAACTCATGCAGAGATGTCAGCTGCTTTGGGAAGATTTCTGTGATGACCCCCAACCTTGACCCTCCTTCTGGACCACTCAGGGGTCTCTGCAGCCCATACTGAGATGGTGGTGCTCTGGGCAAACCAAGCAAAGCAGGCCTGGGCCCCACTCCTAGACCAGCACAGGCACAGATACCAGTGTAGTGAATGACTGAATGAATGCTCTTACTTCCTGGACAGGGAGCCCTCTGAGTCCTCCTTGTTTCTCATTTCCCAGCCCCAGCCTAGGTCCTGTCTCCGTGTTTAATTGACGCCGCCTCCTCCCTGCCCCCACTAGGTTTACCTGAGAACTCTTCTGGAGTGAGAGGGCACTTCTCTCTCCCCACCAAGGCCTGCTCTCAAGTCAGGCTGAGAATAAATGTGTTTCCCTGAACTCTGCAAGGAGATGCTTCCTCCTCCCACCCTGGAGGCAGGCACGGTTGATGTCAAGTTTGCTGATGCCACCAGTAGCT